GATAGACCTGAGCCACTTCCACAGCTGTAAAAGGGTGCCTCAAAGTCATAAAATGACCATATTTGCTGAATCTGTCCACAACTACCAATATGACTTCCTTCCCTCCAGAATTAGGCAATCCTTCTATGAAGTCCATAGATATATCTCTCCATACCTCATTAGGCACTTGCAGGGGTTGTAGTAAACCAGGATAGGGGCTAGTGTCATATTTGCAGCTTTGGCATAATAGGCACTGTCTAACATGATTTTGCACATCTCTAGTCATACCCTTCCAGACAGACAACCCTTTTAACTTCTTTAAGGTAGCATCCCTGCCCGAATGTCCACTTGTAGGTGAATCATGTACCCATTTTAGAATCTGACCCCTCAGCTCAATATTTGGCCCTATGACTAGTCTTCCCTTCTTCCTCAATAAATTCCCTTGTAAGCTGTATTTCTTCATTACTACCCCTTGCTTCAAATTAGCTATGGTTTCCATCAAATTGTTGTCCAATGGATAGCTTTCTTCAATAGCTTTTAAGATATCAGATTGGACTCCAGAAATGGCCAACAATAACAACTCTGATCCCCTCACTCTGGATAAGGCATCCGCTACCACATTCTCATTTCCACTCCTGTATTTCATACTGAAACCCCATCAGTTTAGATAGCCAGAATTGTTGGAAGGGAGTGGATATCTTCTGTTCTAAGAGCCATTTTAAGCTCTTCTGATCTGTAATGATTACAAATGTATTACTGCTCAAATATTGTTCCCATTTTTGTACTGCATGTACCACAGCCAATAACTCCTTCTCATACACAGATATTTACTGCCATTTAGGGCCCAAAGTCTTACTTAAAAAGGCTAATGGATGATTATCTTGCATAAGAACAGCTCCAATTCCATAGGCAGATGCATCAGTTTCTACCACAAAAATTTTGGTAAAGTCTGGAAAACCCAAAACTGGTGCAGTGGTAAGGGCAATTTTCAGCTCTTCCATAGCTTGTGTAGCTTCTGAATTCCACTTGAAATTTCCCTTCTTTAAAAGGTGAGTCAATGGCTTAGAAATTAATGCATAATTTCGTACAATTCTCAATTCCTTGAGAATTGTGATTGAGAATGACTGTATTTAAAGTATGAAAAAATTAAAGTAGTTTTCTATTTCCATGCATCTAATTTTTTACAGGTAAGTTATTATTTAGTGGTTGATTGTTCAACATATAAAGGTATATATTATTCAATACTTTTCCATGTATTAAAGGCACACCTCTTTAAACGATGTCTCCATAAAACGTTTGGGTCTGGATCTCTAAATGGAAACATTATTAAATTGAAAGCTTATTTGGTTGGAATTATTACACGATAATAATAAATATTTTTACACGGTATATTATTATTATAATTCTTTCACGACAATAAATTAATAATGATTAAATACATTAATATTATTGCACGGTATATTAGTATTATTATTTTTTCTACACGGTAATACATGATATATTCTTGCTACAAAGTAATTTATGATTTAATTATTATTTGTATATTAAACACTTAACATATTTGCCACCATTTTTATGTATTACTTTGACATTTTTTATATTTAATTTCTTTTATTATTTTTTATTTTGATTTTTTTAATTGTGCCTTCTTTAAATGCATAAACTTATAAATTTAAATTTCTTCATAAAATATTTGGCACCGAATTTCTAAATGGAAACATAATTAAATTGATAGCTTATTTTCTTAACATAATCACACCGTAATAAATTAATAATGATTAAATATGGTAATATTAAGTTTAACCATGTTCTCTAAATGGAAACATTTTTAAATTGAAAACTTCTTAGATTAGAATTATTAGACGATAATAATACTAAGTACGGTAATTTTATTACACAGTATATTATTATCATTCTTCTTACATGGTAATAAATTAATAATGATTAAATACGGCAATATTATTACACGATATATTAATATTATTATTCTTGTTACACGGTAATACATGATCTATTCTTATTACACAGTGATTTATGATTTAATTGTCATTTATTTATTCAACACTTACTATATGTACCGCCATTTCTATGTATTACTTTGACATTTCTTTTAGATTTGATTTCTTTCCGAAAAGGAAACAAATGGTTTGTACGTATGACTAAAATGGTTTGTATGATTAAAATGGTTTGTTTCTAAATTGGAAAAGGAAACAAATGGTTTGTATGATTAAAATGGTTTGTTTCCTAATTGGAAATTATATAAATTACGAAATAGAAAATTTAATGCATTGATTAAAAAATTTACACCTTAACGTGATTATTACCTTTTATGGACAAATATTATTTTTAGTTGAATGGTAATCATTTTTTTTATTATATCAATTCCAATTTTATAAAAAAGTTCAGTATTAGAAAAGAAGTTTATATAAATAATATTTTTTATATTTTGTTTCCTTTTTAGAAATATATTAGGCATGCGAAATTTCCTTTAATTTATCATTCTAAATAAGAATAGAGTAATTAAGTAATTATGTATGCAAAATTATTTTAAAAACGAAACAACGTAGATCTTGTTTGCGAAATTAGTCCCTTCCTTTTTTATCAGAATTAAGTAATTATGCATGCGAAATTTCCTTAAATTTATTATTCTATTATTCTTAAAAGCATTTCCTTTTAGGAATAGAGTGATTAAATAAATAATTACCTATTTAATTAGGCATAAATAATTACTTTTTGATAAAATAATCAGGCATAAATTATTCCAAGTAATTATAATAATAATAGTAATAATTAGGCGTAAATAATTACCTATTTAAAAAGGAAACAAAATATAAAAAATCTCCTGCACCGTCCCTTCCTTTTTTATTACAATCAAGTAATTAGGCGAAATTGGTTAGGAAACAAATTACTCCCTTCCTTTTTTATGAGAATAGAGTGATTATGCATGCAAAATTTCCTTTAATTTATCATTCTAAATAAGTAATATTACACAACCAATCATAGCCGTAGATCTTGTTTTTTCCTTGATATCGACGGTGCAGGAGATGAGTGCATTGGGCGGGAAAATAATTCCCCTGCTTTTAAGAATAGAGTGATTCCTATTTTGACTTAAAAGCAAAATAAAGATTGTATATTTATGGTTGACTTTCCAATTTTGCTTTTGATGTGATGAGTAAAAATATGATGCGATGAGTAGATTATTAATGAAAAAGTATGATGTGATAGATAGGATAAAAAAAAGTAAGGATAAAAATAGTTTTTTTAATAAAAAGTGAAAATATTTTGGAGAAAGAGAAAAAAATGAAAGACGAAATATTTTAAAAAATGGAAAGAGTTTGTTTTTTTAGGATATTTACTTTTCTTTTGCCTGAGAGTCTTTTCTGAAACAATCTCTCCATATCTATGTAGGGGTGAAGTCTACCTACATATACCCTTCTTACACCCTCTTTTGTGGGATCTTAGTGGATTGTTGTATTCTTTCTGGATTTGAGGATTTCAATTTGGGGTTTAGCAAGTGAAGGAACTGGCCCTCGAACCCTCTACATAATGGGGGAGCGTATTGTCCTTCGCCGAGCTCCCTTTTTCTGCCGGCGGTTGATCGCTGTTCTTGGCGTTGAGAACCCGCCAAGCTCCGCCATCTACCTGCGTCGCTGCCGCTGCTCCTCTTCCACAGCCAAAGCTGAGGCAGAGAAAGAAGCCGATACTGCAAATAAGAAAGACAAGTGGTTCACTCTGCCTCCATACACTTCCTCTATAAATGGCGCTGCTCCTTGGAAAGAGCTCGCTGGAAGGCAACCAGATACTAAGTGCAAAAGTGCCACCACCATGACGGCCCTGAAGTGGGTTCTGGCGTTCTGCATTGCTGCCCTGAGTTTCCAAGGTCTCTTGTGCAAAAGCTGTTTCGATTAAGACAGGTCTATTTTTGGTTTCTATTTAGTTTTGGCGGAATTTTCGAATTTGTGTTGATTTATTCGTGTGTGTTAAAATCTTGAAATGTAACTTTATCTCTCGTGTTTAAATGGTTTTAAAACTTTTAATTTTAGATCACACGCCATATTCTGAGTTTGAGCAATTGGGAAATTAACATTACATATTTAAGCTAATTCTTGTCATCCATATGTGATATTCTTGATCTTTACTACCTGAGTGCATATTTTATGTAGCAATATATAAATAGGGTTGGATACGAGTTAAAATTTCTGAGATTGTCAAACAGATACTATAATAATACATTTCTAAGAGGAATGTCTTCTGTTTCCCAAAGGAGAATCTAATAACCATTAGTGGTACTTTTGCGGCAGGTTCGAAGGTTATCCTCTCCTGATCAACAACCTCAATGCAAGAGGGTAAGATGGAACCTATTGGCTCTTTAGATTGATTTTCTTTCCTTTCATACAAATACAACTTCTTGTAATGTTCACCTATTCATTTACCTTGAAGCGATGTTTATAGTTGATAATTATTTGTGTTTGTGTGAGTGATATGTCATGCTTATTGAAGGTGAATGCTAAGGAGCCGATGCACATAGGGGATCAAATAGTTCTTCCTATAACTGTTGAAAAGTTTCCTGCTGAAAAGAAAGTTGAGCACTTTTATAGTGAAGAGCAAAGAGAGTTCTTTCAAAGTATTGAATTGTACAAGGTGTGGAATGTATGGTGGATAATTAGTCACTACTACCCTCTATAAATGAAAGTGAAAAGCTAAATGCAATTAATTCTTGAAGCCAAGGAAATGAAGCAAAACCTTTACTCCCATAATTGTCTTATTCTGTTCACCTCATCATATTTCAGGATCCATCTATTCTTGTTGTAAATAAACCGCCTGGGATGGCTGTTCAGGTAACTTATGAACTTCAATTTCTCACTTTAAATTATAAGTTTAACAAATTACAATTGTAAAAGCCAATGGTCTGTTGTACCACTTCTACAGGGTGGTGTAGGCATAAAAAGAAGTTTAGATGAATTGGCTGCAAAATATATGAGATATGGCTATCCAGAGNATCATATTTGTCTCTTTCGAGCATTATTCTCATATTTGTGCATAATTTGTTGTCGCCAAGCTGGTTTCTATTGTCTCTTTCGAGCATAAATCTCATATTTGTGTGTATGTTGTTGTGGCCAAGCTTATTTCTAGGTACACAGACTAGATAGAGATTGTAGTGGGATATTGGTGATGGGAAGAACCCAATTGAGTGCGACGGTTTTGCATGCCATCTTCCGGGAGAAGACGTTTGAAGCATCTAGTGATGTATGGGTTTTGCCATTTTCCTATCTGAATAAGAAACATCTGAAAACATCTGTTTCATACCTTCTTTCTAACATGGTCCTGTTTTCAACTCTAAAAGGATGCTGAGCGTACAAAAAGAAATTTACAAAAGAAGTATTGGGCTCTTGTAATTGGTTGTCCTAGACGTGCCGGAGGAATAATTTCAGTGCCTCTGGGAAAGGTGAATGCACACCCTAGATATTTCTCACTTAACTAGTGTTTGCCAATCTTTAGTATTAGAATTTCTTGTGTTAAGAGAAAGTTATTCTGTTCTAAGTGCTTGGCATTGAGATTCTTTGCAAGAAATTAACTGAGAAATAAAGGATACAGTCAAATAATGTATTTGAAAAGAAAACTCACACTCACACATGAATGTTTGTATGTGTATATGATGTATAGAGATTGGACCACATGAGAACCATGTCCTGCAGGAAGTAAGGACAAATCTGAACTGTTAGCGATCCAATAAGAAGGCTGAAAATGGTAGTGTATGGTAAATGACACTTCATAATTCCATCCATCCAATCCAAATCCATCTGTTGTCTCCAAATTTGTCCCTCACCTTGTTAGAAGTCATTTCAGGAGCAAACATAGTGAGTTTTAAAGAAGCGTCAAGCTTGTTCCTCCAAATTTGTTGATTATTCTCAGATGGCATCCACAAATCAAAAGTGATTTAATTCAAAGTCCTCTTTGGAGGACTAAAGTTAGCTTCCAAAATCGTATCCAAACACCCCCTAACTTTCCCATTGTCCAGGGAAGTGAAACTTGAACAGTCAACTCCCTTTGGTAGTTTCCAATTCCTCATTTTATATTCTGCTGTGTGTCACTTGTTATAGAGCTGGCAAACATGTCGGCCATGTGGGGTTTGGTTTTCAAAAGCATGTGTGAGGCGTGTCTGGGCACAGTGATTTCCTTAAGAGTGCCCTTCATTGCGCCTTCGGTCAGTCACACGTCTCAAAGAAGTGCTAGGTTTGTTTTATTCAAAAAAATCACATTCATGCCGGGTCGCATATTGCACCCTCACCTTAATCTTGTAAAAAACCTAGGTCTTCTTCTTCACCGAGTCATCTCCTCACAGGTATTCTGTTCTAACTTCTTCGCTTCTTCTACTCCAAAGTTTCCTCCCGTAATCTTCTCAAACCTCCTCTCTGTTCTTCTCTAGTTTCTTTCTTCTCAATCGCTTTGCAGATGTAATTTTTTTTTTAAATATCAACTGTTTTTATTTTTATACTTTTACTTCCTATTATTTTTAAAATGTAAGATGCCAATACAATATTATTTAAAACTAGTTAGAAAAGATAAATTTATACAATGGAATGGAGTAAATAATAATAATAATAATAATAATAATAGTAATAATATGATAGCATGATTATTTTCACTTTATATATCATACTAAAGTAACGATTTTGTAAACACCTTACCTTAGCCGGTCAGTCACCTCGGGTTTGGGTCAGTCAGATTCGATCCGTTTTTAGCGGGTTAGTTAGGGTTTTGTCATGTTCGGGTTCGATTTACAAAATCTTTCTTTACAACCCAGGACTTTTGAGTCGGGCCCGAGGAAAAAACAAGTTGAATCAATTTTTTCCAGCTCTACTTCGTGTTACATTACTACAAAGCTTTCAGAAACTGTTTCCATATTTTTTTCTCCATTCCTTTTCAGGTGATGGTGGATAATGGGAAATCTGACCGTATTACCATAATGGATGATGGCCGTGCACAATCAGCACAATGTGCTGTGACAGAGTATCGAGTCATTGAAACTTCTGATAAGGGTTAGATTCTTGGTACATGCTGAGTTTTTGCTTGTCTGTGTTCACTTAAGCCACCACAAATCTGTAAATCTTCTTGATAACACAACGAAAAAATCTGCAGGATTTACATGGTTAGAGCTATCTCCTCTTACTGGCAGAAAGCACCAGGTATGTTTTAATAGACACATACTCTGTTGTTGCATATTCTGCCAACAAACACACACACACACACACACACAGCATGCATGAAATGATGCTGAACACTGACTGTAATTGTTATTGAAGCTGCGGGTTCACTGGGCTGAAGTACTGGGAACGCCGATACTTGGGGATTATAGATACGGGTGGCAAGCTCATAGGAATTTGAATAAGCAATATCTTCTCGAGCAAAAGTGGGGCCCTCTTGGCTTCAATATGAGGAATGGCAGCGTGTCTGATAGGCAGCAGCCTCCTCATCTTCATCTGCACTGCAGAGAGATGGTTTTGCCCAACATATCTCAGGCCTTGCAACAACATGCTTCAGATGACACTTTCTCAAAGGTCGAAAACATAAAGCTCTTTGCTCCTCTCCCGCCCCACATGCAGCGGAGTTGGGATCATTTGAATTCTTAGCTGCCATTTTGTTTAGATTCACGATAGTCGGTCTGTCTAAGCATCTTAACTTTACTGCATTACATCGCATGAAAAACACACATAACAATGAGAACCCAACTGCATTGTCATATTCAATGCTTTGATTAAGAATGTTGATTTTGAACTTCGAATATTCCTTAAATAAAACCAGGAGCTCCTATTTTATATATAATGCCTAAAAGTATTGTACAATGCGAGTAAACAACGCCAAGTTTTGACATTGCATAATGCATATTTCTTACTTGTATTTAGTAGATAAATAGAATCAAGAAAACCTAATTTGATATGTGTAATGTTTCAGTAGATAGATTTTTTTATACTTTTATTTGGAGAGAAGAGTATAAGATACTTGGTAATTCTTGGAATAACAATTACTTTTTCCGTCCCATAAAAAGGTTCCACATTTTCTTTTTTGTTTGTAATTAAAAAGGGTTTTCACTTTTTGTCTTTAAAGAAAAATTATGGTCTTTATTATCTCTTTTCTTCTCTATCATTTTGAACTATGCAATATTAATTTCGGCAAGGAACTTTTGACCTGAGTCAATTTTGACCTTAAATGACATTGGCATTTTGGGGCACCTACGGTGTTTTGTTGGTAAAATTGATAGTTCTGAAGCTATCAATTTTTACCAACGGAGCACGGTAGATGTCTCATGTCATTCTTAATTTTTTTTCTATGTGAAAAGGGAAACTTTTCTTGGCACGAGACGAGTAGTAAGAATTGGTACAATCAAATTCTCTAAAGACCCAATGGCTGGCCTCCTAAAATTACCAAGGGCCATGTTAGGGTAGTTATTTGTATACCAAGCAAATACAAATACAAAATGTCTGTAATCATGAACACTTAGTATCTGTGTCTACCTGGTATACAAATAGAGTTTACCACTTTAGTGCAATTCTAGCTTTATTCACTTAGGAAACCAACAAAAAAAGAAGCCACTTGTTTGTAGACCTGGCAATCGGGTCAATCGGTTCGGTTCCGGTTCGGGTCTTTTCGGTTCGGGTCTCTTTCGGATATATGTTATAATCGGTTCGGGTCGAGTCAGTTCGGTTCTGGATTTATTTCGGTTTGATTGGTTTTCGGTTTCGATTCGGATTTATATCGGTTCGGGTTTGTATCGGTTTGGGTTTATATCGGTTCGGGTTTATATCGGTTCGGGTTTGTATTAATTCGGATTTATATCAGTTCAGGTTTGTATCAATTCAGGTTGTATTGATTTGGGTTTATATATATTTGAGTTTATATTGGTTTAAATTTATATTAGTTCAAGTATAATGTAAACACATGGTAATAAATGAATAATATCACATAATAAATTTAGTTAATTTAGTTAACTATAATTTTTATACACTTTCTATAAAAAATATAAAAATATTAACTTAAGTTATAAAATACAAAGTAAAAGATTTGTACATGAAAGTAGTTACATGGTTTGCACCCATAATTTAAATATGTTTTTTTTAGAAACACATCAACATATGTAAAAATATATAGGTAATTCGTTTTCTCCAAATTCATTTGATAAATGAAATATTAATGAATTTGATCAATTTCGGGTCTAATCGGTTTCGGGTCTAATCGGTTCTGGGTTTAACCGGGCTCGGGTTTAACCGGGTTCGGGTTTAATCGATTCGGGTTTAATCGGATTTGGGTCTAAATCGGGTCTAAATACATTTGGTTCGGGTTCGGTTCGGATCATTTTGGGTGTTCGGTTCTATTTCGGTTCTTTAGTTTTCGGGTCAATTCGGGTTCGGTTTCGGGTTGTTCGGTTCGGGTTATCGGGTCCGGGTCAGTTTTGCCAGGTCTACTTGTTTGACTTTGGATGTACCAATGGTCTTTCAATTCCAAATTAAAACATTGTCAAATATGATTTTTTTTGGATTGATAATTTTGAGAGAGACTTTGGATTAGAATGAAAGATGAAATTAGAGTATTCATTATCATATTGGCTTCCCCACCAAAATGAATCCAAAATTAGACGAAAATATACAAAAAGTATTAAAAGAAGAGTTTCATATTTTTATTCTTTAAATAGGAGTTCACATTGTAGTAATGTGCATTTTACATAATGTACACGGTTATGATTGATAGTGTAAATGCAATTTAACTTTTATTTCGCCTTATATATATTAGTGTAATTGGAAAAACTAGGACCAATGATATCCCTATAATCATCAAAAAAGTTTAGTGATGCGGAGTGCACACTTCTTTGAGTTTTTTAGGATAAAAGTCTCATTTTAACGGGGTTCCAAGGTGGTAGAGCCCCCTTAGCGGGGGTTCGGGGGCACCACCCCCGAGCAGGTTTCAAGGGGCGGCAACCCTGCTGGGTCCAAGGGGCAGAGCCCCTAGCTCGCAGGTCAGTTCTAATTTTCTTTAAAAGGAAAAATCGTTAAAAGATAGCACTGATTTGTTCCGAATCTCGCGCGATGGATCGTGCATCTTAGATGAAAGACGCGATCGCGTCTTTTTTTCCCACCACAATTCTATATATTCCTAGAAATTTTTGGTCAAAATAGGGTTCGAAATTTCACAACAATCTCATACTTGTTCTTGTTACTTTCGAGTTTATCAGATTGAATTTTTGATTGGACAACCAAAATATTCAATCTGAAAGTGCAATACACGATTCTCGATTGATCCGAGTTATCGTTATTGTCCTCAACATTTCAAAAATAGAAATATAAAATTTCTATTTTGATATATTTTCGATTTTTATTTTTATTTTAGTCATTTTCTACAAATCCAACAACGAGTCAACGAGTAGTATAAAATATCTAATCCCATTTCGTAATCCCCTGATTCCACATCTGGTTTTCCACACTCGACCCAAATTCAACAGAAATGGCGGCGGCTTATTCTTCGTCCTCCACCATACTCGCCGCAAAAGGCTCGCGGCAGTACTCCTCCTTCCTCTCCGGTCAGAGCCAGCTCCTCTCCCCATCGGCGTCCCGCCTCGCATCCATATCTTTTCCCCGCCGCCATGTTTCGCGCTTCGTGGTGCTGGCCATGGACGCCAAGCCCACCGTCCTAGTCGCTGAGAAACTCGGCGAGGCTGGGCTCACACTCCTAAAGGAGTTCGCCAATGTCGATTGCGCCTACAATCTCACCCCGGAGGAGCTCTGCACCAAGATCTCCCTCTGCGATGCCCTCATTGTCCGCAGCGCCACCAAAGTCAACCGCGAGGTCTTCGAGTCTTCCCACGGACGCCTCAAGGTCGTAGGTCGGGCTGGTGTAGGGATAGACAACGTAGATCTCGGGGCAGCCACTGAACATGGATGCCTAGTAGTGAATGCGCCGACTGCTAATACGGTGGCTGCTGCTGAACACGGCATAGCATTGCTCACCGCTATGTCCAGAAACATTGCCCAAGCTGATGCCTCCGTCAAAGCTGGTCAGTTGACTTTTGAGTCTTTTATAAAGTTTATATTTTTTTTTAGTATGTTTCTCCCAATGATTTGCAGGAAGCCAAAATAGTTAGGTTTTAGAGTAATTTTTGCTTATGAGAAAGCTGGGAATTATAAGACGTGATTGTTTTACTACTTTTTTTCATTATAAAGAAAAATCTAACATAACCTTTTCCCTCTTACTCTATATGGGAATCCGCAAACAATTCCTAGTAGCATGAGAAAAAATCATTGTGTAGTAAAGAATAAATCGCATGAGAGTAGTTCAGAATTTGGTGAGCTTCAATCTTTCTTTAGTTCATATTTGTTCAGGCTGTGTGGAAACAATTGTCCAGATAGACCACTTGGCTGTTTTCCTGTGTTTAGTAGTAGTTGTAGTAGTCAAAGGGGTTCGAGGAGAGAAAACTCTTTAACTGCACTGAGACTGAAGCGATCAAGTTTCGACCTTATTGGAATTATCAAGTTTCCACCTAATTGGGATTTGGATATATGTGTTGTGTAGTACTTCTTCACAGGCATGTAATGTAAACTTTTGAACTATTATAGACACCAGAGAATATGGCTTCCCAAAAAAAAAAAATTCTTGGAGGTTACCAAAAATGTTATGGATTTTATTTTTCTTTACGAAACCCTTTGTGTCGATAATTAGTTTCCTCGTACTAAACAATACCTTAGAGGTTGTTTGGCACTGCAGTGGATTCCTAGAAAAGCAGAAGTCCTAACGCAGAAGCCAAAATCATTTAATCCCAACTTTGCCAAAAAGCACTTTTGGAGCCCATTTTGCACTTTGAAGTCATACGCCATAAGCTGAAATAGATTTGCCAAACACACAAAATTGCTTATGGACAAATTTGAAGCTCAAAAGTTGCTCCCTAACACAGTGCCAAACACCCGCATAACTCTTGCTTGATATACTCATTGATATTTATTATAGAAATATTCATTTTGAGCATATGTGAAGCTGATTGATGTTATAATGTTTGTTCATGCACTATCTGTTTCATCCATGCCTGACGGTTCTTTCATCATTGGAATTTTTTTATTTATTTTAATCATATCTCACATCACTGTGAATCCAATATATTCTCTTCTATTTTATGTCATTTTTAAATAGAGCTGAAAAACAAATCCTTAGATTTTAACTTAGAAATCAGTATTAAGAATTTGTCATCTTTGTTTTGCTGGTACATTTTTCATTCATGCTTGTCATTTTTAGACAAATACAAAATTTCAATGCAGGAAAGTGGGAGAGAAACAAGTACGTTGGGGTATCTCTTGTTGGAAAAACGCTTGCCGTGCTAGGTTTTGGCAAGGTAGGTTCTGAAGTTGCTCGACGTGCCAAGGGGCTCGGTATGCATGTAATAGCACACGACCCATATGCCCCAGCTGACCGTGCACGTGCCATAGGAGTGGATCTTGTGAGTTTTGATGAAGCGATGGCATCTGCAGATTTCATCTCGCTTCACATGCCACTCACTCCTACCACATCTAAGATGCTAAATGATGAAACTTTCGTAAAGATGAAAAAAGGTGTTCGGATTGTCAATGTTGCTCGTGGTGGAGTCATTGATGAAGAAGCATTGGTGAGGGCCATTGATGCAGGCATTGTGGCACAGGTACTAATTTATGATCATTAGTTTGTTATTTGCTTTTTTGTGCTCTTTACTTTCTCTGCTTTATGTGTCTACTCTTTTTTTGTACTATCTATGTTACTTGAGCCGGGGTCTCTTAGAAACAGTCTCCCTACTTTCGAGA